CAGGATTTCCCTTAAGAGCAGGCACTTGCTCAAGACCACGTGCACAACTTTGCTAGGGCAGAGGACTGATCTGAGGGTAGCTGCCTTCCACAGGACCTCACAGACAAAGCCTGCCAAGAAAACCTGGATGAACAACCGTGTAGAGCAGGGTATGCCACTGCTCATGTTTCCGAACCAGAGCTAAACTACAATCAGATATACTCGCACCGTGCTCAGGCCGGAACGTGGCAGTCGTTTACTGACTGCAGCCAAACCAGCTTCTAATGTTACAAATGCAATGGTGAATGCAGGTTTTATTTTGTTTTCCCCATGAAGCATTAACCTTGGAAGTACCCATGTAGGTGTTGAGAGGATTCTAATGGCTACTCACCTACTTTATTTTCTCACATAGCCATTTTTCCATAGCCAATGCATTTTTATACAAATCGAGATACACAAATTAAGAGTGCCTCAGACTCAAGGACTGTACTTACTCCCTCCTCCATTTCCCAGGGCTTTGGTAAACATGCCTCATCTTTTTTTTTTCTCACTCTAAACTTAATGGATGTTGAGCTAAACTTAGTGTTCCTGGTGGCAAAAGATGCCTATTCTCAAGAGGAAAGTGAAGAAAGAGAAAACGTAATGGCTTTCTGTAAGGATTATATGAAAGGAGAGGCTGTAATCAGCATCAGAGACAGGGGGGTAGAGAGGGTTGGGTTTTTTGCAAATGTCTTGCTCTTCCATTCAGAATATGACATCGACCAACCAAATTACGCTTCACTCAGGTGTATGTAGGTCAGCAGTTTGCTCACTCTCTGACCTCAGTTTTCCTACCCATTTTTCTGTATGCATTATTCAGTTCTTTTATACAGCTCCAGCTTTCTTTCCCCGGCTTTTCTCTCATCAGTTACATCCACAACATAGAAATGCGTGCCTTCAAGATGCCAGAATTTCTGTGTAAGTGGTTTATAAAAAGACCCATTTCCAGCATTATCATTTATTTTTCCTCCTGCAATACTCGTTAGGCTGCCTTGGGTACCTACCAAAGTGACAAACATGCAAAGGAAATGTTTGTGACTTGTAAAGCCCCCGCTTTGCTTGCCTAATAGCAAATCATCCCTGCTAGGAGTTATTTGTCTGCATCTCTACAGGTAATTATGGCATGAAAAGTTTTCTTTGGCTTCCGCTCCCAGCTGTGTCCAAAAAGCACTGATTTCGAGCTAGTGAGATGTCAGTTGTCCACTGTACTGAGAGATGAGAACAAAACATCTTCATTAGCATCAGCAGGTAGCAAACATCAAGTAGGAATCATCCCCTATGAGGTAAACACCATTTAATTGACTTCCTGCTATTTTGGCAGTTATTAAAAATTTTAAAAATATCTCCCGATAGAATGGAGAAATACAACTTGTAATGTGTGTTTGATTTAAGACTGTGGACAAGTAGCTCCTGTGAACATCATACAAACGCCAGTGTTACAAAACAAGCGTGAGGAGCAGTCACAGGTACGGAGCCCACAGGAGAGGCGAGGGGCTGCTCATGCTCTTGGCGTGCTGACAGAGCCTTCTTTTTTTTTAATTAAATGGACGGTGGTTCAGGTTCAAATGTTCTGAGAATATTTAGCAACTGGCAAGAGGCCTCGTTCATGACCAAGTGAAGAATGACACTCGCAGGTGAAAGCACAGGGGCAACCACAATAAACAGATGACAACAGCCAAGAGAGAACTGACCAGACAGCTGAGACTGCTGCCTTGGCTCTTGTAAACCTGCTACAGCCCTTCTAACACCGAGATCTTCAGGATTTCATAACCAAACTGAGGCAGACATGGAGGAACCAGAGCTGC